TGAGATACCACCTCACACCAGTCAGAATGGCTAAAATTAACAAGTCAGGAAACGACAGATGTTGGTGGGGATGCAGAGAAAGGGGCACCCTCCTACACTGTTGGTGGGAATGCAAGCTGGTGCAGCCACTCTGGAAAACAGCATGGAGGTTCCTCAGAAAGTTGAAAATAGAGCTACCCTACGACCCAGCAATTGCACTACTGGGTATTTACCCCAAAGATACAAATGTAGTGATCCAAAGGGGCATGTGCACCCTGATGTTTATAGCAGCAATGTCCATAATAGCCAAACTATGGAAAGAGCCTAGATGTCCATCAACAGATGAATAGATAAAGAATGGATAAAGAAGATGAGAGAGAGAGAGAGAGAGAGAGAGAATGGAATATTATGCAGCCATCAAAAATGAAACCTTGCCATTTGCAACAACATGGATGGAACTAGAGAGTATTATGCTAAGCAAAATAAGTCAATCAGAGAAAGACAAGTATCATATGATCTCACTGATATGAGGAATTTGAGAAACGACACAGAGTATCATAGGGGAAGGGAGGGAAAAATGAAACAAGATGAAACCAGAGAGGGAGACAAACCATAAGAGACTCTGAATCTCAGGAAACAAACAGGGTTGCTGGAGTGGAGGGGGGTGGGAGGGATGGGCTGGCTGAGGGATGGACATTGGGGAGGGTATGTGCTATGGTGAGCTCTGTGAATTGTGTAAGACTGATGAATCACAGACCTGTACCCCTGAAACAAATAATACCTTATATGTTAATAAAAAAAAAAAAGAAGTAGCATTCTAGAACTTCCAAGCTCGGTCCTCCGTCTGGGAAGCCAGCCACTGTGTAAGAAGTCTGAGCCCCCACCGGCTGAAAGGACCACATGTGGAGGCAGCTAGAAGTGCCCGATGTGTGAGGGAAGCCTTCTCGGACCTTCCTGTCCAGCCCAGCAGCCAGCAGCTAGCTGACTGCAGCCAAGGGAGTGACACTAGCCTATGCCCAGCTGACTCACAGAATCATGGCAAGAGAAAATGGTAGTTGTTGGTGGTGATTAGTTTTGGGGTGGTTTGTTATTAGGCAATGGAGGACTGAAGCAATGGCTTAAAACAGCCACCGTGCATTATTTCTCACAAATCTCTGAGTTGGGGGTGGGGGTGGTTCTGTGGATGTGGTCCAAGCCTGGCCAATCTCATTTGGACTTGCTTGTGCCTTTGCAGTCTCCTGAGGGCTTGCTGGTCAAGAATGGCCTCAGCTGTGGTGACTTATCTCTGTAGCACAAGGTCTTTCCTCCTTTTTTTTTTTTTAAAGATTTATTTATTAATATGAGAGAGAGAGAGATAATGGGAGGAGGGGCAGAGGGAGAGAGAATCTCAAGCAGACTCCCTTCTGAGCGTGGAACTCAACTCGGGGCTCCATCTCACAACCCAGAAATCACGACATGAGTGGAAATCATCGAGTCAGACGCTTAACTGACTGAGCCCCGCAAGCTTTCATCCTTTAGTGGGCTTGTCCTCCTTGGCAGAATTCCAAGAACAAAAAGCAAAAATGCACAAACTTTAAAAAAAATTAAATTTCTTTAGAATAGTTTTAGATTCACAAAAGAATTGAAGGGAATGTACGGAGATTTCCCATATCTTCCCTGCCCCCCCCACAGGCATAGCCTCCCCCACTTATCAACATCCTCCACCAGAGTGGTACCCTTGTTACAACTGGTGAATCTACTTTGACACATCATTATCAGCCAAACACCACAGTTGACATTAGGAACTGGTGGTGTACGTTTTATGGTTTGGGACAGATGTATAATGATAGCTATCTACCATTGAAGTATTACACAGAGTAGTTTCACTGCCTTAGAAATCCTCAGTGCTCTACCCATTCAAACCTCCCCACCCCCAACCCCTGGCGACCACTGATCTTTCTACTGTCTCCATAGGTTTGCCTTTCCCAGAATGCTGTATAATTGGAATCAAACAATATGTAACCTTTACAGACTGGCTTCTTTCACTCAGCAATATGTATTTAAGTTTCCTCTAGGTCTTCTCATAGCCTGATAGCTCATTTCTTTTTCCCACTGAATAACATTCCAGGGTCTGGACATCCCAGTTCATTTATCTGTTCACCTACTAAAGAACATGTTGGTTACTTCCAAGTTTTGTCCAAATTATGAATAAAGCTGCTAAAAACTCTGTGTACAGGTTTTTGTATGGAATTAAGTTTTCAGCTCTTTTTGGCAAATATCAAGGAACATCACTGCCCGATCATATGGAGAGAGTCATGTTTCCTTTTGTAAGAAACTGTCAATTGTCTTTCAAAATAGCTCTACTGTTTTGCATTCCCACCAGCAATGAATGAGAGTTCTTGTTGCTCCACATCCTCACCAGTATTTGGTATTGTCAGCGTTCTGGATTTTGGAAATTCTAATAGGTATGGTGCACAAACGTTTTTCAAGCCTTCATTTACATCAAGTCTACTGACATTCTAATGGCCAAAGGTAATCATAGAGGTGAGCCTAGGATGGGAGGGGATGACAAAATTAGAGACAAAGGACTTGGATAAAGGGAGATCATTAATGCTATCAAATCTACTATAAGGAATCTACACGTCTTTCACATAGGGGAGCGTAAATAGCATTTTTATGAAAATGGACTAAAATCTAGAATCAGAGAAGTCACATTTGAAATTAAGTAAAACGATTAGATGGGCACTTTCTAATTTCTATTTATTTTTCATTTTAATTTAAATTTTAGTTAACCTACAGTGCAATATTGGTTTCAGGAGTAGAATTCAGTGATTCATCACTGATATATAAGAGCTGCACTTTCTAATTTTTAAATGTCTCCAGACTTTCTGGCCAAGTCACTATTGCTAGTAATATTGATCTTGTTTTATTTCCATTAGAGGGTGACTTTCCCAAATTCCTGTTGATGTATATGTAGAGAGAGAACCGGGAAGAAAGAACAGGTCTTGTGGTATAATAACTATGTGGTCCCTTGTTCCAGGAATTAATTCACAGTAAGGAGCATCTTAAGGCTCTTGGTAGAGTTCCTGAGAATCCTGTTTAATACGAGTTAGCTCTCTAAAAAGCCAGTGGGCAGTCTGCTTTGTGATTTGTCTCTGGAAACCTAAGGCTGTTGGCCCCATGCTTTACAGAAGGGAGTCAGTCAGTCTCTTAATGGGAAAGGAGGGCTGTGCGTACACATGTGTGCATGCTTCTGTATGTAATGTGCGTGACCCCCCAATCCACTGTGATTTAAGTTTGGTTTTACCTGTTTTCGCCTCCCCTGCATTCCCAGGAGATACTGAAAACTGGCTTTGCATTTACACTTACCACTCTGGGAAGCAGATTTGTTTTCCACTCGCTGGGTTTCAGATCGGCCAGAGGGGCGAGGAGCAGAGAGGGGGAGACTGGGATCATCATTCCCAGATCCCAGCCCGCCTGCTATTTACAGCGGTATGGTGCTGCCCCCTACGCAGTGATTCACTCAAGGCAGATGAAGGGTTCTTGGATCTTTTCTTTCTCCGCCACCCCCTCTATCGACCCCAAATTGAACTTTGTTAATCCCGTGTTTCTTTTATTTATTGTTCAGGAATTGGGAGCTGTGTTCTGGCTCTTGGGCCACTTAATGTCTTTGGATCTCAGTTTTCTCTTCGGTAAAGGGAACAAGCTGAACTAGATGTGTGTTCCTGTTCTGAGCTTTGGAGAGTCTAGAATGCCAAGATAAAACCAGAACGAAGTCACAGGGTCCTAACATGTGATGCCTGAAAACTCACAGTAATGGCCAGACACATCTAGAAGTAGGTTGGAAAAACAGTCCAAGAAATAACAGATATTTGCGTTACCAAGGGATTATTACACTCTGATCAGAGCTGTTAATTAAACCATAACAAACTTACCCAAGGTGGGGGGTGGGAGGTACACAAAGATTTCAAAACCAGAAAGAGGTGTTCATTTGCTGAGAACTTAGGGAGTATCCTTTCAATCAGAAACTCATTGTGACTCACCAGGCCAGGGATATCTGAGGATAAGGACCATGAAGTGCTGTTCTTCCTCCAGCACAATGTATCCCACGTTTTACATCAGTGTGTTTGGTTTTTTTTTATTATTATTATTAAAAAAAAAAAAAAAAAAAAAAAACAAGGACAAGGAAGGAAATGATGAAGGTGAGAAATAACCACTTGCTTCCATTCATCTGGGAGAGATCCGGTAGGTACCTTTTCAGTTCCTTTTAAGTAAATTTGGCGATAGCTCGCAAGACAGCATTTCCCCAAGAGTCCTTAGGTCTACCCCCTACCCTCTCCTCTCCCCCGCCATCACAGGAGATTGCAAGTGTCCCCGCGCCCATTCAGCGCCATCAAGACTTAGTCCCCTCTCCCATCACAGCCCATGCGCTCTGGACCTCTTGACGTCCCTCGGGCCTCCGCTCTCCCGTGACCCCTTCGCCAACCTACCCTACCTGTTGGGTAGGTCTGACTTCCTGGGAACTCCTGCTGTCATCAGAAGGGGGCACGCCGTCGCCTCGGAATGCTAGCTGTCCCTTCCTAGTGGAGGGGGCACCTGTGCTTAAGTGCGGGCTTCGCGGCCAGCAGAGTCCAGTGGGCAGGCGACCAGGCGCTGCAGAGTTCAGTGGCCTGAGGAAGGGAGGATGATGTCCTATCCCAACCACGGCTCTCTTTAGCGGGCCTGCAAGACTTCAGAAGCACCGGGACGCCCTCGGCTAACCCTGGCGTCTAGGAGAAACCGGCCGAACCTCGGGGCCCGGCCCAGCCCGGCTCTCCGCGTCCCCATGCCCCGACTCCGGCGCCCGGTCCGACTGCGGCGGACGCTCCCGCCGCCGCCGCCGCCGCCGCCGCTGCAGCTGCAAACCGGTCTGGCTTCCCTGCAGGGCGACGGGGATGGAAGCAAGGGGGTGGAGAGAAAAGGGGAAGAGCCTGGGCGGCCGGCGGGCGGGGCCTGCAGCCTCCCCGAGCCGCGGCGGCCGGCGCGCAGACTGCTCTCTCTGCGCCTCGCTCCGACTCAGGCGCGCACGGCGCCGGGACCCGCGCCCGCGCCCGCGCCCGAGCCCCGGGGCGCCGCTGCTCCTCCGCCCCCGGCCCCCGCTCTCCCCCGAGCGCGCTGCGCGGAGGCCGCGCCGGGCAGCGGAGCGCGCCGGCTGCCGGGGCTTTTCGGCTGCCGCTCGCCGCTCCGTCTGGCCGGAGGACTGGCGGGGAAGGCAGGGGAAAGCGGGGACACACACCCTCGCCGCGGCGCGCGCGCACTGCACACTCGCCGCCGCGCGCCCCCGCCGAGGCGCGTCCCGGGCGAGTTCGGCCCCGCGGCTCCGGCCCGGCACCTGCCGGCTCCGCGCGCCGCGCCCCGCCCCCGCCGCGCCGACCCCCGGCGCCTCCCGCCCCTCGGCGGCCCCGAGCTCCCGGCGCCGGGCGGGGGGAAGCAACTACATCCAGATAACTTGCAGACTGTGGCGCAACTGGTCTCGACAGCAGAGGCGCCCGAATGCTGCCCGGGTGAGGTAAGTTTCCTGCGCGTCCCCGGCCCCTCCTCCCTAGACCCTCCTCCAGGGCTGGGGTTCGGGGGCTCCGCGTCCTGAGGAACCCTGGAGGTCTCTACGCTCGCACTTTGTCCGCCTTGTGCTGGGGGTAGGGTGGAGGGCTGCGTGTGGCCACCGAAGTGGGACCTTCATTCCGCTGGGGCCACGGCGGCGCGCTCCCCGCGAGCACTCAGCCGCTCGCTCACCACCCCGATCCCCCCCCCGTGGCCGCAGTGACCCTCGGGGACCTCTCTGGGTTCGCTGAAGCGGGAGCTCCCTCCCCTTTTCAGGGGCACCAGCTGAGTTTGGCAGCGGCAGGAGGGCTCTCCCACCACCCTCCGCGGGCGATAAACAGAGGCGAACTTGTCAGTCGCCCCCGGGATCTCAAGAGGGGCTTGCGAGTCGGTGTTCTGGTCATTTCTGGCGCCGACGCCGGGTTGCACAGATGCGGTACGGTTCCAGCCTAAATGCAGCGGCTGACTTGTGCGTTTCCCTCCGTTCTCTCCCCCAGCCCCGTCAACGTGACGCTCCGACAGCCGGGGCGGGGGGTGGGAGTGTGGGGGCCAGGAGAGGGAGAATGCCAGGGTTGATTCGTCAGGCCGGAGCCAGGAGTCGCCAAAACAGAAGACAACAAACGTCTGCTTATCTCTCATCTATGCAGATGAGCCTGTTGTATTTCTTATCCCCCCCTTGCCTCTGGTGCCCGGCGTGGTTGGGTAGAAACCTGTTCCAGAGAAGTTGTTTGGATAGGCTGATGAATTCTTTCATCGGATCTACTGAAATCAGGGCTCTTAACAAGAAAATGCTAGTTACTCTGATGCTTTCTGAAGGCAGAGTGTTGCAGACCCCAAGCGCCACCCCCCAATCTTGCAGGACCTTTTCAGCCTCCCAGGGGCCCTCGCTCTAAGGCCAGTGACCCTTGAGAGACTGGTTGGGCCTCACAGTGTGTTAGTCTCCTGCAAGGAAAAAAAAATCGGTCTCCCCATCTGCACTCCTGAGAATGGATTTCGGGAACCTCTCTTGCCCCTCTGGTGACAAGCATCCACTCAGACTTCTGTCTTCTGTGGAAAGGCTGAAGTGTTCTGCAGTTGTTGGAGAAAAGCCCGAGGGTTGGTTTCATTACTCCTCTAATGTGTGATGAAGTAAAATAGTGCTCATGGAAGCTTTAGTCAGAGCATTTCCAGCTGAGAGGAGGCCCTGGGAAAGAAATCTTTCTCAGCCAAGTCCATGCCAGTGGCACGTTGAGTAAGCATCATGCATGGTCTCTGTGCATTCCTGGTACAGGAATGGGAGCTGAGACTCGGAGCACCCAGGAGAAAGCTGTGAAATCTGAGACTCACAAATAATGACATCTTAGTTGAGAAAGAAAACTGTTCAGAACTGAATGATCAAACCACATTACATTTCTGTCCAAATTAAGGAGACTAGAGGGTCTCATACTAGAGTATCTCATAATAATACTTTGCACTTGAATCAGTGCCTTGTTATTTGTGAATGCTTTTCAGTGCTCTCAGTAAGTTCTGGCCATTTCCGAGGGAGGCAGGGCAAAGATTATTAACCACATACTCAGAGGAAGAATGTGAGGCTCACAGATGGAGGGACTTACCAAGGTCATAAGCGGCTGGACTTAGAGTCACAGGCACGTTCTCTGATATACTCCCACCCGACCCCCCCCATCACTGCCCAGTGCTGGTTCTGTACTTGCGTACGGTTTCACAACGACCAGACTGCTTCTGCATTTATTGTGGTCTGCGCTGTCTCACTGTGAATCACTGTTCACATTTGACAGATGAGGAAACCGAGGTTTAGACAGGGATGGGACTTTTCAGTGGTATCCTGTCTAAGCTAGTGAAGGTTACAAGACTAGAACCCAGAGCTCTTGATGCCCAGTCCGTGGCTTCGCAGATGATGCCATTGTCCCGCTTCTGACGGTGAGGAGGAGACATAATGGATACTGCAATACCCTAGGGACTGTTACGCATGCCTGCTGGTGACCCGAGTTCTAGTTCCGGCACTCTATTTGGCTGTATGACCCCGGGGCCAAATCATATCACCTCTGAGCCTCAAGTGTCCCATATATGACACAAGAGATTCATAATGAAGTATCTTTTTCTAGTTTCAGCGTTCTGTTTAGCTAATAATTTATCGCACCTGTCATTTACTCCCCCTTCCCCTTGACCCTGTCCCATTTAGTGAAGGGAAAACATTTCCAGGGCACTTTAGCTTAGCATCTATATTGTTTAGTGTTACTATTTGACTTGGAAATATCCCGATGGGCTGCATGTCAAGATTCACTTGAATATCCCAGTCAACTCATACCTTTATTTTTAGACTTGGGAGTTTGTGTATAGTAAGTACTCAATCTATCGCCATGGAGTGAAGGGGGTGAATGAAATCACTCATAAGGAAAACACATGCTGTAAAAAACAAAGCATCGCATCATGTAAATTCCCAACATCTGCTGACCCGACAGGTAATTTACCTACACGAGGTGTGCCTCTTGAAGCTGGTAGGTACTGGTATCTGTTACTGCTCTCCTTCCCAAACACCGCATATAAAGAAGAGCTTTTCTTTCTCCATGTAGACAATAGACTCATGTCATCTCTGCCATGCTCCTTTGCTTGCCTTCCCCTCCCTTAGTTGTTAGTATTGTGTAGCTGGCCAAAAGACACATTCCTAGAAATTGACTTGTGCCCTTTTATGAAAGAGTCTTGAGGTGGAGAAACCAACCACTTTTTTTTTTCCTTTGAGTAAATTTCAAGCAGCTGCTAATACTGGCTGGTGGTTTCAGAGAGGAAACCTAATTAACAAAACCGACCTAGTTTCTGTTCCCCTTGAAGGGTCCTCTTTCCGTCCCTCCTCCCCATATACGCAAAAGTTGTGTTTTTATTTTCAGAAGAAGGATGACAAAGAAGTAGAATGGTTCTTAAATATTATTAACAGATCCAGCCACTGGGATTGAGGTATGTCTTTGTGATAAAGAAATTATATGTTAAATAGTTCAGAGACTTGCGTGCTTTATGGATAAGACAGCTGAGGGAGAGAGAGGTGAATTGACTTGCTCAGGGTCACACAGAAGTTTAGCAGGAGGAGCAGGGCTAATGTGGAATTCTTAAGAAGGTTTATATTTAAGGTTTTGCTGGGAGTTCTATGGTGAAGGTACATTTTGAGTTTTAGAAATCATAGAGGTTAACAGAAAACTTCTGCTTATTAGTACTTATTAGTGAAGTGGCATAATTTTAAATGATTTAGTATTTATATTTCTAAATGTTCTCATCCAAGCAGATACCATTAAAGAGAAAATGTTTGTCTGTTTTCATCTGCTCCCTATGATTCTCTTGACTGACTTACATCACCAGATTTAGAATTAATACTTTGTTCCAACCAGTGCTTGGAGAAAGGGAACTATTTGAATAGAAATACAAATGTATGGTAGTTTTCCAAGCTTCTCTTCCTGGTAAATAAAGCCAGAAGTCAAAGGTGGAACTGCCATACAGCTGGTAAAGTCAAAAACGTATACATTTCATTTGCATTTTCATTTTGCTTGTACTTCAGTTAAATGGTGAGTCAGAACATTTGATATCCTGGGGGAAAGAATACATTTTTTTTTTTTTTATTATGGCTAGAACCTTCACAGCTACACTGTAAAATTCAAGTCCTGAATGTATTTGTTGCAGAAACGTGTTCTTTGTATCAAATCTATTAACTGGAGTTGGAGAGTCCTTTTCTTTAAGAAGCTGCCCAATTAGAACACTACATTATGAAGCTCACCTGTTCATTTGTGGACTTTTATATGGCCATGCTAAATGCCAGGCGAGTCAGAGAGGGAGGAAACCTAACCTTCTGTTTTAATATTTTTCTTTAAGGGGCACCTGGGTGGCTCAGTCGGTTAAGCATCTGCATTCTGCTCAGGTCAGGCTCAGGTCATGATCGCAGGGTGCTGGGATGGAGCCCCACATGGGGTTCCCTGCTCAGCGGGGAGCCTGCTTCTCCCTCTCCCTCTGAGCCTCCCCCCCCACTCGTGCTCTCTTGCATGCTCTCTCTCAAATAAATAAATAAGATCTTTGAAAAATGTATTTTTTCTTTAAAAATAAAACAACCTCTAAACTTAATCTGATGAAATTTTTGAAATACTAGGTAGCAAACAGTTGACTGCCATTGATGAAGTCTTTAATTCAGCCAGGTTCCTTTCGGTGTAAAAGATGAGGCTGGAGAAAACAGGCTGGATTTTGGGTATTGCCTTCTTAGTTGTATCTACTTCCGTCTAGTTGTACCAGAGATGGATAGAGGAGGTGGTGACAGAGGAAAATTCAGGAACCCTACTCCAATGGGGTTACTCCTAGGGAATGTGGATTTCAAATACGGATAATAATTGGAACATGGTTCCATGTTTGCTCAGCAGGCAGCTCCTGGGCATTATTTTTAAGTCAAAACCCGTACTTGAATGGGCAGCTCCCTGAAGGATGTGTTCCTCTTGTAGAAAGTCTTCTGTGTTGTTAATGGGACTGAATAAACAACAGGGGTGCAGCAGGTTTTGGGGAGTGAGTTCTTGACGCTTGTTTTCTCTCAGGGTTTTAGAAAGTCACTTGTAATGTGGTGATGAACTGTAAGGCATTGAGTGGACAATATTGCTCCCACTAAAACTGGGCCTGTGTGTTTTTCAAGTGGAGGTTCTTCGGGCAAGGGTTGGACTTCCAAGCACCGGGGGGCCTAGAGAGTATGATTACCTTGAATTGGAACTAAAGTTATGGGACGAAAGACAGGATGATAAAGAATTTATTTTGTGGGCGCCTGGGTGGCTCGGTTAAGCGACTGCCTTCGGCTCAGGTCATGATCCTAGAGTCCCGGGATGGAGTCCCACATCGGGCTCCCTGCTCAGCAGGGGGTCTGCTTCTCCCTCTGCCCTCTTCCCTCTCGTGCTCTCTGTCTCTCATTCTCTTTCTCTCAAATAAATAAATAAAATCTTTAAAAAAAAAAAGAAT